AATTTTATTAGAGCAATAAAAGCAGACATTAAAAAACATTTAACAAGAGGCAGGACAATAAAAATTACATATTACTGTACTAGCCAATATTTGTAAGGGAAAGGTGGATAATTTGCATAGGTGTGTTAATGTATCAGGTTCGGTGATAACTGAACATTTTAAAATTAAAAACCAGCAGTATGCCTGGTATTATAATCCAGACATGATCTCAGTGCTGAGGAGGGCTAATGCCAGTTATGACATGAAAGTTTTTGAATCTGTTTACATTAAGTCCTACCAGCCACCTCTCTGTAAACAGAAGTGATGGCTGGTGAGCTTAAAGATAATTAGTATTTAACACTAATATATATATATATATATATATATATATATAAAACATTAGTCTGGGGTTGTATATTTTTTAGTTGCTGTGCACATTTTTTTGTCTTTGATTTTTGCTCTGAAGTAGACTGATAAACTGGTATAGTTGTTTTTATTTGTTGTCCTATTTTGGTATTACAATTTTATATTTTTGTTACCTCTCTTTTTTTTTGTTATGAAATGCTTTTTAATAAGTCTACTTTTATTGCTTTAATGAATATATTTTCTAATAAATGGCTCAACAATTTAGATTTGAAATTTGATCCTCTTGATGTTAGTGTAGGGACAGATACAGACTTCTCATTAAAGGTGAGTCATTAAGTCTGTCATTGAATTAAAATACACACACACAATTTGGATGAAACTGAAATGGACACAGGCTAATTTCTGGCAATAACACCTGGTTAATAGGAAAAGAAAAAGTGTATAAACCAAATGTATAGCCTGTTGAAACCCTTTTTATAACTTTTTCTAATGAATATAGTATTTTAAATGAACAAATAATTTAGATTTGAAATTTAATCCTCTAGATGTCAATGAATGGACGGGTACAGAGCTAGTTCTTTTTCTTCCTCAGCTTTTTAAGAAAATAAATTTTTGAATATTTTCTAGTGAAACATATTTCCTGTTTGGTTTTATTTTACATTCAACTTTTTACAGGCTAGATATTGATTTCCAATTTGCTTTTCTTGCTACAGAATTAATTGTCGGCATAAGATAATGTTGAACTGACACTGCAGCTTGATAGCAATAATGATATTTTCTATTACTTGGCTGTTGGGATTTTGCAAGAATTTCATACTTGTCTTGGCATTTACCCAAAGTGGGTTGGGTTGACTCTAGCCAATGCATAGAGGCAACAGTACCCCAGCGATAATTCTTACAATAGAGATCCCAGTTCAGCTGACAATAGATTTCTTAGGAAAGATTGTCCTAGGTATGATGATAAACTACATCCAACAGCAAGGCTACTGATCAGGAGATTGGAGATTTTGAGGAGCATGGGACTATCTCTTAACTGCTGCTGTTTGAAGGTTCACCCTGAACTGGGATGGTTGCACCTGTTAGGGTCCCAGATATGGGCAAATAGTGAAACCCCAAACAAAAATCAACAGTACATTTTTATAATAAAAAGTACATTATAAAAATGTGTTTTTGGTCATTTTATTATAAAAATAAAATGACCAGCAGTATGTTTTTATAGCAAAATGACAATTAATGCAACACTAAAAAAAATGTTTATATAGTAAAATTACCAACAATAAATTTAATGATCTACAAAATATATATCTAAAAAACATGTCTTTTACCCTGAAAGTATAAAATTATATACAAAATATCTGTAGTTGAAAGCATAAAATTAAGTACAAAATATTTAGATTTTGGCATTAAATAACCCATAGAGGTGTTGATATGCCAGTAAGCTAAAGCAACCAGACAACCAACCTTATGTAAGACAATAAGTGTGCTTTCTAGTTATCTCTTTCATGGTTTCAAATTTGAAGTTGCTCTTTTTGATTGTAGAGATGGAATTACCCCAACCTTTGATTTTTACCTTCCAGCATTTTCTGACCTAAGACTTGCAAGAAAGATTTATGACTATTGGAATCATGATCTTGGCTTATGATTTTCTTAGAGCTGAACAATCCCTATTAATATTTACCTCAAGTAGGCGTGTCTTGGGTGGGATAGCCTGATGGAGCCCATCCCTCTTCAGTTTTCCTAGATAGGTTGTCCTGTTAAAGTGGATCTACCACATCTGGGATGGAGATTGTCAATCCTCACTTTCCAGCACTGACAGTTCAAAAGCATTTGCACGGCCTTTTGGGTGATGAATTATTTTCTACCTTTCAACCCCTTTCCTACAGATGAAACATTGCTAGCCTCTTGCTTCTCTACCGCTATTTTCATCGTAGATATTCTGGTGGACTACATTCCTTGGTTCCACTAGTGCAGATCTTCATTGCTAGGACCTGCCATACCATCTACATTGAGCCAATTAATTCTCATTCCCTTTATATTCCATTAGTAAGGAGTAAGTTCCACTTAGACAGCTTCTTCCCCCAGAACTGGGATGCATGGGTAGTGTAATGGATAGCACTTTGATATGAGAAATCTGAGAGCAGATTTCAAATTACAATTGTGTTTACATTCACTTATGTGCAAATACCCTTAGTAAAGTTATGAATTCATGCTGTCCTTCCAGCTATGGGTTAAATAAGATTTGTTTGGAAAAAATCATTTATTCTTAAAAAAAGTTGTTCATGCAATATTTACTTGCAAAAAAAAGAATTCTTATAATCTCAAATGTTTTGGCTTTAAATAACCCACAAAGAGTTAAGCTGTAAAAAAAAAAAAAAAAAAAAGAAAACAATACAAATCAAATAATCCCCAGAACTGTTACAATGTGGAACATACTCCTGATTACTACATTGTTAATCTCTTCAAGTTGAGGGTCAGCTAATATCTATCCTACATATCCTCATAATAGGTAACCCTTTCTTCCTCCCCTTATGTCCTTACAACCTGCCCTTTCAGTGTCTCTCTCTCTTGAGTGCCTCATATTGGGTGAACATTAATAGAAAAAATGAGTCTATTGTAGATTTTACGCGTGATGATCTGAATACGTTCTAAAGAATTTCTTTACTTTTAAGGAAAGTTATCTTAAACATTTGTCTGGTACGAAGTCCAGTAGGAGGGAAGGGTATCTGGGAGATTAAGTAGTGGCATTTTTCTAAATATGGAATGTCTGTCTGTTTAGGAATTTTGGCTTTTATCTGTATTTAAACACTTGAAACCCCCACCCCACCCCACTGTTACTTGAAAAATATACAACTGTGTCACTGACCAATCGGGCTCTCTGCTAGTTACCTTGGGTTCAGATAACCCACCCCAAATGAATGTCTTTTTTTTTTTTTTTATTTTATTTTCTACTGTATTCAAGAATTCTACCAAATCTACTTGGTTACTTATCAAAATGTTTTTTTTTTTTTATTTTTTTATTTATTAGAGTGAAGCATTAAAAAATTTAAGCAATGTGAATACTATTTCTTGCCCCAAAATTAAGCAAGCCAATTACTGATCAAAAGTCTGAAGTTGCTTATTAAAAAAAAGAAAGAAAAAAAAGAAATTATGTACTTATATCCAGCTATTATAACTGGCAAGATTTTTCTGTACGGCAAGTTATATTTTGGCTAGAAGTTTATTTTTTATAGCTAAAGTAATGTTTGTAATTTTGCATCTTTTCTGAAAATGTCTTTGTTTCAAAGGTCTATTTGCAGTAGATGGATTTCTGCAAGTTTATCATTTGTTTTCCTTACTGACTTTGTTACAATGTTATGGTTCCTCAATAGTTGATTTGAAAATCTTGTTTCATGTTTGGTATTACAATTCTTATTTTAGTTCTTTCTCGATTGCTGGTTGATAAGCTCTTGCTTTCTGATGTATCCAGCCATTTTGAATATTTTGAAAACTGGTTGTGCAGCCTTGATGTTATCTGATACCCCGTTACTTACAGGATCTTACTACATGTACATTAATACTCTTCCTTGGTCCTGGGTATGACAGTAAATTACATCTGGCTGCAAAGTCCCCTGATTTAGAGATTGGAGGTTTTGAGGAACATGGAACCACCTCTTAATTGCCGTTGTTCCCAGGTCCACCCTGACCCAGGGTGGTAGCACCTGTTAGGGTCTCAGCTATGGGCAAATAGTGAACCCCCAAACAAAACACTATGAAAGTATAAAAATACATTTTTATAGTAAAAATACCGGCAATATATTTTTATATAAAAAAAAAAAAGACCACCAATACATTTTTAAAGTAAAATGACCAACAGTATCTGTAGTTGAACCCATAAAATTTTCAAAATTTTAGCATTAAGTAACCTATAGAGATTGATATGTCACTAAACAAAATCAACACACACTCTTCTTTGAGGCTACTCGGTCACCAGTGCAGTATGACTGTTACATTCATAATGTACAAGTAACTAAATTTTTTTGCTAAAGATTCACATCTTTAGCAAAAAAAGCCTCACATTGCTCACGTCTTTTAGCTCTAGGGTTCAAATTTGACTCTAACTTCAAAGCTTGTGGATGAGATTAAAGAGAATGTGAGAAACTAGCTCATGTGGGTCCTGAAAGAGGGGCTTTGTAGACAGTTTCAAAAAGTGAAAGATATGCTGTCGTAAGTGTTAAGGGGGGAATATATTTAAGAGCATTCAGTACCATTACCCTAGGTAGGCTTTTTTTTTTTTTTTTTGTAATATTAAATGGCTGGATAGTTTCCGGACAGACATGTGGATTTCCTTTCTCCTTGTCAATTTCTATCTTCCTAATCTATGCTTGCTGCAAATTTGTATCCCCTTCTGCAAAAAAAAAAAAAATTCTCTACCTTTGACCTTTTTAGGGATCATTCTAACTCGTGGGATGTCATCCTCGCCACATACTCCTGTCCGCCTTAGTTTTCTCAAATACTTCTCTCTCTCTCTCTCTCTCTCTCTCTCTCTCTCTCACTAATAACCATTAATAACTATAATATCAGGATATTTTGACTTTCACAACTTTATATCATCATCGTCATCATTTTTGTAAGGGAGTGGATACTGAAGTTCTTAACCCAACCCATCTACCAAAAATATGACCAAACAGCAACTTTCCTCTCTGTACTCCAAAGGGTATTTGGTTGTGTTGATAACTTTTAGACGCTTTCATGTTGGAGTGGTTAGAGCTGCTGCTGTTGGTATTGTTTGTGTTGTATGGTCATCATCATCATCAGCTGGATTGTATTTAGTAGGATATTACTACTAATAGTAGTGAGTCCTAATGTAATATTATCATATCATTAGTGGCCATATTCTATTTGCTATTTTAGTCATAGCAGTTCGATATTGCATATTTTAAAATTGTTAGACTATCCACTTGGAAAGAAAATTTTTCTTTCCATGTCACAAATAAATTCTCATTGATTATTTCTATTTTATTATTTCCGAGTTTTTAGGAGATAAGGTTTAACCTCATTTCCTATGCCTTGACCACTGGGCTGTACTAATCATGATGCTGTATTTTTATTTGTAGCTATATATGAATGTGTTTATCATAATTATTCTGATGAGTTTTCCTCTTTGGTACCTTCACTTTTTGAATTTAAGTGCAAGTGCAATACTAGTTTGGCAGTTCAGTCTCATTTTATAGTTGATATTGCTAGATGTAACTAAGTTCTATGCTAACAGTTTCTTCACTTGCTTGTAGAACTCTCTTCTGGTTTCTTGCTTTCCAGTCAAATTTGATCTTTAAAGACTTAAATGCAATGTTAATTGTTATCTTCTGTTTGCTTAATTCCTGATTTTTTTTAATGGGGGGGGGGCTCTCTCTTTTCACACTCAGTAACCCCTTGTATCTTCATGGCTTTATTGCTTTGTTTGGGTTGAAATGATAGAAAAAAAAATGTTCTTGACAGGGCAAGTAATATTGGTAAGTAGAATTTAAATTCTGGCTTTATCTGCTGTACCCACTTTTGCAAAAATACCTTTAGTAAAAGCAGGAACACATTTGTCTTCCTAGCTTTGGGTTTAATTGCAGAGTATACAGGGATCCCTCGTCTAGCTCTAATGAATGGACTCTGAATTCAAAACCATAGAAAAGCCATGGCAATTCATAGATATTAAAGACAAAGGAATCTGTGATTGCCTGCGTCCTGAACATTTAAAAAAAAAAAAAAATTATTTAATTAATCATTTCACCCCTAAGCAAGGCAATAAAGCCACTAAAATGCAACAAGTAACTGAGGTATTTTTAAAACAAGAAAACCATTAGTAGTAGCACAATTATTGTGGAGTTATGGCTATTTACTAAGACTACCTTAACAAGGCCACTGTAGTCGGGGTACCCAATGAGGATGAATTCTCTCCACAATGATCTGAAAGACAAGCTTGGTAACCCATTACCCCATGGCAAGAGGACCGATTATAGTATAATTAATTCGTGTGGAAGGCACCAAAAAGAGGGAGGTAACTCTTATTGACTTGTCGTGAAAAGAGGAAGTGTAGCTCTTTCAATGGCACAGCAACAGTACATGTCACTTCAGTTGCTGTTAATGTGCGGCACGGAGGTACAACCGGTTCTCTTTCCTCGTTCTCTCTCCTTTTACAACTCGACTACTACTGACTGATGATACTCGCTCATAATCCAAAATACATCCACAGAAATAGCAGTGCCGTTTAATTTATCTAAATCGGCGTATTTGTCTCGGTCGTCTTAAAAAAAATTTAAAATATCCCTTTTTAGGACTAAAAACCAAGAAGAACGTAGGCAACATGTCATTTTCTGCTTTGGAGAAAAGGTTTGGAACTTTAAATTAAATATTTCGTTTATTTTATTAATCATTCTTTCTTTATTATTACAACCGATGTCCCATAATTATTGTTAGATAAATGTATGAAATGTAAATGCAAATGTAGCAACAATTATGGGACAGGTTGAATTTTTTTTTTTTTTTTTTTTTTTTTTAAACAAGATACCTGTGTGTGTCCGTTTCTTTAAGTTGATTCAAGTTTATTATTATTTTATTTTTCCGACTCCTGTTCGTGTTGAATGCTCAAGTCCCCACCCCACGACTTCGTTGTTTCCCTATCTCTAGTCTACACTTTCCTCTTCCATTCATTTTTTTCTTTCGTTTTTTTTCCTTCTATATCTTTTTGATGACTCTTTTTTTTTTTTTTTTTTTTTTTTTTAAATTTCCTTTTGCTTAAAAACAAATTTTTGATTCCTGCCAGTCGCACTGTCATGCATTCTTTGAGAAGTTCATTAAGGGCACATTTCTGAAAGGAAATTTAATTTATATACAGTTGCTGAATTACTTTTTTTAATTTTTTTAAAAATTTTTTTTAAAATATTTTAACTAACAGTAACACTGTTTCTGAATGTGTATTGAATATTAAGAAGAATTTAAAAAAAAAAATTCAAAATTAAACTTCTTTTCTTCGTTCGTCACTTTTCATTTCTTTTTCTTTTTCCTCTTTTTGGAGATGAACTGTATCATTGCTGAAGACAACAAAAAGACAGTCTAGTTGTCGGTATCAATTCAACAAAGAAAGTGCTGATGGAATTTTCCTTCGTATGATCAATCAATATGATAATTCATGATGTTCTTATCTCATTTGTGTTTGACTTTTCTTAAAAAAAAAAAATGAACATTTTTTAACTTTCATTTTTCCCCTATTTTTAAAAATCTTTCCCCTCTCTCTGTATATCTGTTTTGAATCTTTTCCAATCTCTCTAGTCTCCGTGTTAAGATATCAAAATTAAGTTACTTTTAAAATGTTTCTCTTCCTCTTTTTTTTTTTTTTTTTTTATCTCACTGCTAATTCAGTATGTTTTTTTTTTTTTTTACTCTCTAAATTTAATTTTTTCTTCTTCCCCACCTCTTCTTTTTTCTTTTTTCTTCCCCACCTCTTCATTCTCTTTTTCTTCCCCACCTCTTCATTCTCTTTTTTTCCCCACCTCTTCTTTCTTTTTCTTTTCTTTCCCTCCTTTGCTCCCCCTCCCTCCTTTGCCCCCCTTTCTCCTCCTTTTGCCCCCCTTTCTCCTCCTTTTGCCCCCCCTTTTGCCCCCTTTCTTTTTTGCCCCCCTTTCCTCCTTTTGCCCCCCTTTTGCCCTCCTTTGCCCCCCTTTCTCCTCCTTTGCCCCCTTTCTCCCTTTTGCCCCCTTTCTCCCCTTTTTCCCCTTTCTCCTCCTTTCCTTATTCCCTCCTCTTTTTTCTTTATTAGGGTCCATTTCTACTTACTACTCTTGCAAAACCTTATCTTCTCTTGCCATAACACTGTCCCCATTACCTAAAACAACATGTACTTCTAATTACATCATCTCAGTGCTTTTACCCCCTGCAAGACCCCCTCCCCCACTGCAGCTCACCTCCCTCAACATGCATTATTTCCATATTGTTGTCATTTGAATTTATTATGCAATCATACAATGTTATAAGAACATATATTTACAACCTTAGGTTTTCATTTATTTTTAATTCTTTTTTAATTCGAGGACCCACGAGTTTCTTTTAAGGGGTTTCCTTGATTATTTTCATGGAATAATCTTACAGAGGTTACTGGTCAATGAGATTGCAGCAAATGTTCATACTACATTTAGTTCACACATTGTTCATATTCTCTTAATATTTGAATAGAGCCTCATATGATGAATACTTAAAATATATATGACATGCACTCACACAATTTGTGTTCCATAACAGATGAGACAATTGCATATATATTACATATATTAAATGTATTGGCTATTATGGAATTGGTAATAAATTTTATAAATCATTAAGAGAGTAACCTTCAAGATTGTTAATTACAATATCAGTTATTTGTATTTGATGTTAATACATAAGTTGACCAGGGTCGATGTTGACACAGGTCAACTGAGACCTAGGAGATTGTTGCTGCAAATCGGCCTTCCTGAGTGGGGAGGGGTACTGAAACTTTAGGTTTCAACCGTCAACATGAAGAGGATTTGCGACGTGCTGTCAGGAGGGCCTGATTTGACCAGCTGTGTCCATCATCCACACTCCTTTGTGACTCCTGCTCATGACTCTTCAGGAATAGACTGTGTCTTCACAGCCATCTCCGTCACCATCACCAGAAGGGAGAAAGGTATTGGTTTATTACGGTTTCTAATTCTGCTGATGCTTGTTTTGGCAGTTGCAAAAGAAATGAGTTAAAGGCTTGTATTTTTCTATAAATTTTTATTTTAATATTTGCAGTTTGTGTGTGGGTACTACTTTCTTAGCAATTTGGTCTATTATAAATTTCAATTGACTTAATTAAAATAAATCTCTAATTTTATTAAATTAATTGTAGTGGAAAAAAAAAATCTTTAAAATTCACCGTTGGTTACGGTTGAGTTTTTGAAGAGTGAGAGTGTTGAGAAATTGAAATCATGAAGTCATGTGAAAAACAAACAAGGTATTTAATATCTTGGAAACTTTTCACACACATACACACACACAACTATGCAATTCAGTGCTTTGCATTAATCAGCCTGTGTTGATAAAATTTTCAGGATATATTTATATAAACAAAGTTTTATTTGTGTTTCAACTTATTTCTGTATTTATGAAAAGGAAAAAAAAACTTGTTTTGGGAATGTCAGCTTTTATTTATACAAAGAGCAGCATAAATAAACATAAAATATGTTACAGAAACATTTGATTAACACAATATCTTGTATACCTGAATAGATTATTATTTTGCTTATTAAAATAAACTCTTTGACCTTCAAGGTTAAAGCTTAACCTTTCTATAATTTCAACTTTAACATGAGTTTTCCAGTTTATTGCTTTCCATTCTCATGTACAACTCTTAATAATCAACAAGTTTTCTATTGCATTAATATCTGGGGTTAATTTCAAACTGTTTGAATTGCATGGTCCTACACACACACACACACACACACATATATATATATATATATATATATATATATATATATATATGACTGTATGAACGTAAAGCAACTTGGCTCCCAGAAATGAACAGCCAGACTACTTGAGTATATAATTTGATTATAATGGCAAAGGCTTGTGCAGAACCAACAAATACAGAGAACTGGTGTACATAGTGTGCTACAAGGTCCTTAAATGACTCTCTTTGGGTTGAAATTCACAGTTGTCCTTCTCCTAGACTGGATGTTACCCAAGGCTATACGACCCAGTATTCCTCAATACAAGTTACTATCCATTAGTTCATTGTACCTTCATATATATATATATATATATATATATATATATATATATATATATATAGTGTAATCTGGATATAAGAGAGTTGTCGGGACCGGAGAAGAAGTCTCTTATATTTGGGTTTCTCTTATATTCGGGTTTGGTCTATTTTATATACATTAAGACAGGCTCTAATTTGGGACAGAGAAAATCTCTCTTATATCCGGGTTTCTCTCTCTCTCTCTCTCTTGCTATATATATATATATATATTATAATAGATTATAATAAAAACATTTTGAAATTGCTACACAAAAGCATTCATGTTTCAATTTACCATTGCCTGAAGAAGTACATAGTATTCAAACATGAAAGCTTTTATGTAGTGATTTCAAAATGTTTTTTTATGATCTCTTATAATAAAAATATAATGCTCTATTTTGTACCGAGCACTTTTTTAAAAGTAAATGCTATGAACAGTGGAGTTTTACTTTATTCTTTATCTCATTTGTGTGTGTGTGTGTGTGTATATATATATATATATATATATATATATATATATAAATACAAATTCTGGAATTTTGCAGACAGACCCACCATCAATCCCTCTATTCACTCATCAGAAGATATCTAAAAACTATTTTTTTTGTAACCCCCCCCCACCTCCTTTTCTTGGTTGCTATCTATACTGCTCAAAAAAGGCTTTGTCCAAGAACTTATAATAATTTTCTGCCTTTATCTTGATATTGTCAACAATGTTGAAGGATTATTTACTCTATTTACATTTGGACTATTGTCACCTGTTTGTCATTGTTATCACAATGTTTCAGCTGTTGTACCTGCCAGCCTTTATCAGGTATATATGGATCTGGGTAATTGACAGGGAATTGTGAACTGAAACCTTTATTTCATTTATGGAGCTAGACAGAATTGTTTCAACTTTAGTCACCTCAGTTTTGATTGCTTTCTAGAGATCTTTGTTTGAATATTTTTCCTTTCTTACATACATTCCAGTGAATCACAAGTTTTCTATTGGACTAATGTACAGATGTTTCATTAATGTGGTTGGTATCTTTGAAACTTTCTTGTCAAAGTGGGCGAGAGTCAATTTTGGGGCATTCTACATATGATAAATTATTTCCAGCAACAAGGTCTTTGATTGGGAGGTTTTGAGAAGCTTGGAAGCATCACTTAATTGCTTTTGTTTCCAGGTCCGCCTTGACCTGGGATGTTAACCCCTGTTAGGGTCCCAGCTATGGGCAAATAATAAGCCTCCAAACTGGGGCCTAAGCATAAAAATACATTTTTGTAGTAAAATTAGCAGCAATACATTTTCATAGTAAAAAAAAAAAACAAAAACAAAAAAAAACAGTAATTATTGGAAAAGGAAGAGACAAATTAACTAGCAATACATTTTTGAAAAATTTCTGCATTAAGTGACCCATAAGGAGTTGATAAATCAAACCAAAATCAATTTTGCAGAATGTAGAAAAACATTATCTTGCATAAATTGTTGCTACTGATGCTATCCCAGGAGGTCCAGGAATGGATGGTCTTTTGTTCTTTATATATATATATATATTATTTCAATTATGTTTTTATTTAAAGGTGATATTTTCCTTGTTTTCATATCTTCAACCAATATTCATTTTCTGTATCTTTTTTCTCTGTTTACTTTCTCAGTACCAACTTCAAATATTTTCTTTCTCGTCAACCCACTTTTCTTGCTTATCTATTTTAGGGTATTCGGAAAATCACTTTTTTTTGTTCTCTTTCTTTTTTTTTGTTCTCTTTCTTTTTTTTGTTCTCTTTTCTTTTTTTTGTTCTCTTTTCTTTTTTTTTTTTTTCTTTTTTTTTTTTTTTTTGTCTCTTTTTTTTTTGTTCTCTTTTCTTTTTTTTTTGTTCTCTTTTCTTTTTTTTTTTTGTTCTCTTTTCTTTTTTTTTTTTTTCTTTTCTTTTTTTTGTTCTCTTTTCTTTTTTTTTTTGTTCTCTTTCATTTCTTTGTTTTTCTCTTTCACAATGTTTTCAATTGTTCTATGATCTCTGTTCAACTTTTTTCCAAAATTGTGTTCTCATCTTTCAATAACTTTTAAAATAGCGTTTTATCTACAAGTATCTACAGCTTTTTTTACAAATCATGGCAATCATTATATCTCTGAAACAAAAAATAAAATATTACACCTCTATACTATATATATATATATATATATATATATATATATATATATATGAACATTGAAGTCAACACTCAATCGTCAGACCACATGGCCTGACGATTGTGTCCAGCATGAAACAGCCTGTTGCCTCTGAGTGTTGACTTCAATGTTCACTTTTATATTTATATTTGCATATGCTCTATCTCTGATATTGAGCGCTTTATCACATAAATATACCACACCTTAAAGCTATATTTCTTTATATATATATAAAAATAGTATATAATATGAAGGGTGACCGAGGGTTTGAGTGTGCTGGCCTTGTTCAGATTGTTGATCACGCTAGATAACACGCTCTCTCCCAGAAACTGTAACTAAGGTCTGCTCAGAATAGTTGCAATAAAAACCACAGGTTGGCTCTGTGGGTGTTGAACAAACACAAATATGCCTGAGTGAGTGTCTGCAATAGGGATTGGATAGTCGCCCTAATAGATGGTTTTCCTCGAAATATGAGAGGCCAGATATTATTATTATTTATTATATACTATGAGATGAACAACTATCAGCTTTCATAATAATTATCAGAAGAAATTTCTAACAAAAAAAAAAAAAAAGATAGAAGCTAAATTTAAAATGGCATATTTATCACAAATATATTCTGAAAATTTTTTCGTACATTAATACCAGATTTATTGTGAAAACATGAACTTGTCTAACAAAACTTATATAACGTCTATTCCATAACGATTAACTTTATGCAGTCTTGAAATTCATGGCAGATCAGTATATTTTTTTGGTTTCAGTTTGAGGTTTTATTAAAAATACCCATAAAATATCTACAAATAATGCTTAATAAATTTGATGGGCCTGATGTTTTTTTACAGTTGACTTTTTTTTTACATTCTTTTTGCTCATCTGCCACCTGTGACTTTATAAACAAAGTAAAATAATGACTATTTTTTTTTTTTTTATTGATTCTGGATTTAAAAACAAAATAAGCTCTAAATATTTTGCCTAGAATTTTATTCCAGTACTAAAAAAAGTGAGTTTCTTTTAGCTAGAAAATGATTTATTCTGAC